CCCATGGTGCGCAAACTTTTTTCGACTGCGACCCCTTTTGTAGAGAGAAAATTTTTGGCGACCCCTAGAGATAAATGTTCACAAATACGATGTATATTTCGCGCATTTCTTTCGTTTCATCGAATAAAAACATCATCATATCTGACTCATATTAATTTTATTTATAATTTTAAGAAAATACTTTTTGTATAACATAAAAATCAGTAAATTTCCCTTTAATGAGATGTATGTGGCTGCAAGTTTCTAATTATCTCATCGATGTTTGGATGTATGTTGCTAATTGCAATTCGCATATCATCTTCAAGGTTTAAACGCGAGCGGTATTTAGTTTTTATTGAAACTAGTTTGCTAAATCCAGTTTCACATAAATACGTTGATGCAAATTGTATTAAAACCCTGATGGCATTCTTGCATAAAACGGGATATTGCTTTTCCACGGATAGCCAAAATTTTTGGCAAGGCTGAGTCTTAAATTGATTTCGAAGAGTATAATCACTAATTAAATCTATCAATTACTCTTTCTTACTAATTTGAAGAGTTGAACTGCATATGTCGTAGGAAAATGGATCACGAATCCAACCAAGATCGTTTTCAGGAAAATCCTTGAATCTTGTGCATGAAATTGCAATTAAACAGTGAGTGACGGCGCTTCACTCTTTATATGTACACTGTATGGTATGCATCATGCAGGCATAACGCATTTCATAAATATTTGGCGACCCCCAAAAACTGTGGGGGTCGCGACCCCTAGTTTGCGCACCACTGAGATAGAAGATGATCTGCTTTAGTTCATTTTCACAGAAAAGCAAACTTAGGGCGTCGTACTCGTAGCGCCATCTGTTGAGATAAAAGCCTTAACCTAGACTATATATTTTAATTTATATGAATGTTTAACAGAATAATATACAGCCTATGTCCACCCTGAGGTTCCATTCTAAATATTGGTGAAAAAATTATTGAAATCGGATGAGTAGTTTCGGAGATTACTTGCTGCAAACAAACTTACAAACATTACCTCTTTATAATATTAGTATAGATAAAATAAACAATTTTAATGTATTTTAAAAATAAAATAAAACTTTAATTGGTTCATATCTGTGTTAACTATTTTAGAGAAATATTGGTACAG